TAGTTACAGGACTTCATCATGAGCTGACATCAGTAAGAGAACCATTGGAAAACCTGCAGGGAGTACTGGACAGCTGTTTCGTCCTCATTTGATGCTCTTCATCAGTGCGCACCCACCGCAATGGCTCAAATCCAGAACCTTCTGATTACAATGCTAGCGAGCTGGTAGACCATAAGGCCACTGGGAACCGACCCAATGGCCCATGAATTCTAACTTCTGCCAATCCTCAATTCCTTTGTGCAGCATACACTGCTCAGAGGGTTAATGATAATATAGACATTTATAAACTATAAACGTATCATAGAAGAATAGAAAGAATTATTTATTCTTCTTTTCATAGAGTAATACTTCAGCTGAAATATTCTTGGAAGATAGAATTTTTAAAAAAGTAATCGAATGTCGGAAATCATGGTTGCACCATGGACATTAGATAGACAAGTTTAGTTCGATATGATTTTTCGCAAATAATTGGATTTGAATGCATTAACGCTAATTCACACGAATCATAGTAGTTACATAAAAAAAGACTTTTAGAAAATATATTTAAGTTTTCTTTATGGACTAGTTGTAAGAAAATTTAGCATCGGTGGTTCAGCAGTAGGATGCTCGCCAACTATGCATGTGGTTCAAGGTTCGATTCCAGGCCGGCAAACACTTCCACCTCACCTAGTCGGTTGTAACTCTGATCGAGAGGGAAGGTTGGACTTGGGGCTAGCAACCTCATCCCGCAAAAACATCACTGCTATTGAAACTTCAAAGCCGAAGCTTGAAGCCCTGAGTTCCGCTCGGAACGTAAGAGGAATAAAATACTAATAAATGAATGTAAGAGAATCTGGATTACAACAACTACTGAATAATCTAATAAGTAGTATCGACTACAAAGGTTTTTATTGCACCCATTTTGAATACTTTTGCTTTTATTCTTTGTGATTTAATGGTGTCCAATTTTCAGAGTTAGATCAATCGTAAACATATAAAATCCAAACAGTTAATAATTACCAAAAATCTTTTTGTTATTATGAGGTCTCAATCAAACACTTTTACAAATAAGCTGTTTGTGATCAGTGCTTTATTCATAAGGAAGAAGAACTGACCAGTGATTGTTTGTTATTATTATTGTTTCCTTTAATGCCTAGAGGAAAAAAGGGCTTCAGCCACACGTCTCCATTGCGTTTGGTTCTCCGCTAAAGTTTTCACCAGGCTCTACGTCTGCCCACATGCTTTCATCTCCCCTTCACATGACCTCCTACATGTCACCTTCTCACTGACGACCAACTCGCCGCTTCCCATTCGGTCGGGTTCCACTCTAGTGATGGCCTGGCGTGTGATTTCACTTGATGGCTTGTTTTCTCAGAGTATGGCCAATCCATCTCCATTTCTTCCTGCATCTTTGTTCCACAATCGGTTCCTGCTGGGTTGGTTCGCTCCCAGAGATCCCTGTTGCTGATATTTTCTGGCTGGTCATCTGATCTTGAGTAGTACTGAGTGAAGATAGCCGTTGATGAAGGTCTGTAGCTTGTTTGAAGTGCCCTCCATTACGCGCCAAGTCTCTGATCCGTATAGTAGCACTGACTTTACAGTGGAGTTGGAAATCCGGATCTTATTTTTCTTCATGCTGAGTGCTGTTGACCTCCACACAAACTTGAGAGAAATGAAAGCTTGCCTTGCTTTCCCGATCCTCGCCTTGATATCCTCATCAGTTCCGTCCGCCTGTAGTTGAAACGATGCTTCCCAGGTAGGTAGGTAAAGGAGGTTGCTTCTTTCAGATTTCTCCCATTTATGCTGATTGTTGTCTGTTGTTGTCGTTGTGGCTGTTACTGTTGTTGATATCAAATTGTAGACTAAGACATGCCAAGGGATTTGGGTAGTCTCATTATTATAATCATTAGTTTGAAAATAAACTTTAAAATATTGTATTCATATATTGGACTGACTGTACTAGTTTTAAGATAGTTTGCTTATCTAACACTTCTTCAACTCACAACTGATCTATCTTCAACCATAAGCCTAGTTTACGGCAGTTAAATAACTTTAAATGGAATGCGGAGGTATATTAAACAAAGAGGGATTTGTTTATAAACTAAATGTCAGATTGATTTATCAGACATTAGTTGTCACTGGTGGTGACTAACTGTGGAATCCAGGATGCTCAATTCTTCCTATTTGGAAAAGTAAACATTGACTTTAAGTTACTATTGTCCTAGCTAATTTCAGTCCCCTGTTGGTTGATTACGTTAGACCAAAAGTCTTAATCTTTGCTGACATGTCGACTCTTAGTATGAACTCTTTGACACTGTTTGAAGATTAATATGATTTCTTTTTAGTTAGTGTTGACTGACAGTAGACTCCAGGATGTTTATCACCGAGAAGCATTATAACCTACTGGGACGAGTCCCTAAGAGGAGGAAATGTACATTCTGGATTCCATTGCTGGTCACCAACCCCTGAAATAGACTAAAATTATGCTTATTTCGTTAAACAGTCTTTTCAAAATCGTAGTCGTCTTGGTGACTTGGAACAGAACAATAAGGACATCATTAGTTGCTGTTTATCTGGGAGAAATAGGGATAATGACTTCAAGTCATTGGTTAAAATGAATATGAAACTTATCATTTAACTAACATCATTTATTATCGCCTAAAGTCAAAATAAATATCGACTCTATTGCCTTTTAGATGAAGAATAAATTAAAATACAAAATTAGTTTAAAAGTTCCGCCTGATTACACAACATTTAATTTTTCTGAGATTTTCACAGTATGAGATGTTTCTTGATATTCTTAAAATAGGAAATGCTTTCAACTGGACCAATATGTGAGTGATATGAGCATATTTTTCATGCAGTCAGGAAGGAGAAGAAGAAGGAGTGTTGTTAGATATTTGCAAAAATTACAATTTAAGGTGATTAGTAAAAATTTTCCTAGGCTGTGTAATAAATAGACCAAAGTAGAAGTAATTTTGAGTATTCTGCCAGCCAAAAAATAAGAATTATGTCTTCATTAAAGTGAAAGACCCCAGCAATACATTAACCTAAGTTGTATATCCTACCTAGTTAATCTGTTATTGTTATCAATCATAATTAAAATCTGTTGTAAAAGTACACACTTTAATATAGTACTGAGTGAACGGCAATTATATAATATCTCACACTTATTCACATTAACTAACCTGACCACCTAGCATTACTTGTAGATATACAAAGCACAGAAAGTGTACTACAACCTTTAACCTAATTTGATTAATTATTATTGACAAAAACACATTCTCCTGGTTTGTGCACACATGGATTAATAGTGTACAGTTTTGATTTGCTTCGTTTATTATTTAAAAATGAAAAGTACTGATTTATTCTGATGAATAAATAATCTGAAAAGCCTAAGGAATATAATAGGCTATTTCATTAGGATTTCAGTAGTATATATACAATTTCAACAAATAGTCACCAGAGGAGTTTACCTTCCAAATGCTGATTAATTCACTTGTTTAATGTTTCTTTAGTCAGTGTGTACTACAAACCAGTGGACTGTTTTTAGTATTAAACATTTTGAAATCGACATACAGGGAGTTGTATACCTAAGCAATATAACTGCTAGCATTTAGTCGAAAGTCAGGTATTATGCCATTGTGAATACCCATTCAGCTGTGAAAACTTAACAGTATATTCAAGCATTGGTCGGTAAGGATGTGATTAATTGGTTACAGGATTTCATCATGAGTTGACATCAGTTAGAGAACCTCTGGAAAACCACCTGGAGGTACTGGGAAGTGAGCTGATTCGTCGTAATTTGGGACTATTCATCAGTAGGCACCCACTGAGGTCCGAATCGAGGACCTTCTGGTTAAAAGGCGAGCTAGCTCGTAGTCCATTAAGCCACTGGAACCCGATCCGGTGGGCCATGAATTTTTACTTCTGATAATTCATGAGATAGCGTGACAGCTAGCCTATGTTTTCGGCGAGTATTTGTCCTCACACTCAACCTGCTGCACCCTACTGGTCACGGCTTCCCACTAGAACTCAGGTATCTACCAAACTGAATAGGACCAGTCGCTAGTGAGCATCTCATCGATATTCAAGTATTGGTTTGTAGGGATTTGACTGATTGGTTAAAGGATTTCATCATGAGCTGAAATCGGTTAGAGAACCATTGGAAAACCTGAGAGTACTGGACAGCCAGTTGTTTCGTCAACCTAGATCGGGGCTCTTCAGCAGTACGCACCCACCGCCAGGGTTCGAACCCAGGAACTTCTGGCTACAAAGCGATGTCAGCTCATGATTAAAAGCATATGTCGAACAAGTTAAAAGTTATGTAGCTTACTCCCGAATTATTGAAAACAACCAACTCATTGTTTTGTCTTGAAATTTATAAAAGATCAAATAGGAATTGAGTAGCGAATAAAGTCTTTTATGAAAATTTATCACGCAAAAATGCCTATTCAGCTCAAAATCTCTAGAATGATGCTTTTACCGTTTCAATGTTAACAAAAAAGTTGGAAGCTTCATACTCAAGACACATAGGAAAGAAACCTCTTGGGTTTTGTTACAGTCCAACCTGTAGACATAATAATATGGGCGATTATTAAATATGATACAGAAGTATGTTACAGCCTACTGAATATGTAGAAGGAATAAGTCAACTCCATAAGATTTCACTTTTAGTGAAGCTTCAAAGAGAACTGTATTGAGGATGGATGGTATTATCACAGAAATCTCCATCTCAAGTATATCGTCATCATATAATTAGGTTATTTTTCAAACTCCTTTGCATTTCGACTGGGACACAGAGCTGTTAGCCCAAGCCTCGAAGTTTCAGTAGCGGTAATTTGTTAACAGAATCAGGTTGCTACCTTCAAGCCCAAACATCTCTCTTTACCGAGGTCACTACCGGCTAAGAGAGGTCCAAGAGCCCATCGACTGACAACAGAACTCCAACCACTTGAACTACCGATTCAGTTAAATCACTGATATATATATGTATTAGAATGATAAAATGTTCAACTCACTTTGGTGATCTTTGAAGAAGATGTTGAATAAAATCAATTGAATTTGATGAACGATGCTTAAATAGTTCATCTGGATATGTAATTGTTGCATGAGTTATATTTTGCATAGTAATCATTTTATCTTCACCAAGAAACGGTGAGATGCCAGTGAGTAGATAATAGGTAAGAACTCCAACAGACCTAAAGTAGGAAAACAGTAGTTTGTTATCCAAAATACAATTAACGCTCACAGTCATATATCTACAAAATGACAAACTATGCAATAACAGTACGAATCACATTTTAAGAAATATAGTCTCTTGTGTTTTAAAAGTCAAATAAGAAAATTTAGTAGAACAAATAAAATACTTTCAACCCGAAGTTCAAAACAAAATGTATAAACTCAAAAAGAGTAATATAAACACTAAGTTGTCGATTTCAACTTATAAAGTGTTGGTTTGTAGGGATTTGATTTGACCATGGATTTATATCAGTTAGAGAACCATTGAAAATCAGCAAGGAGTGATGAACAGATGTTCACCCCCCATCCCAGTTTGGGAATCATCGTCAATACGCACCCAACAACATGGTTTGAACCCAGGACCTTCGGGTTACAAGGCTAGTAAGCTGGTATGCCATTCAGCCACTAAGACCCGATTCAATGGCCAGTCCATGATTTCTAACTCCTACCAATTCGTGATGCATTTAGCGCGACCACTAACCAATGTCATCGGTGGGACATCCATTCTCACACTTGACTGGATTAACTTCACTGGTCACGACTTCCCACTTAAACTGCAGGAAACTCTGTCCTGTTTTAGGCCACTAGCGAGCATCAGATTAATTTTCTATAGTTGGTTTTTAAGGATTATATTTGTTTTAATAAGTTGATCACATTGATGTCAGCTACAGAACTAGTGGAGAAGCAGTGTGGAACTGGACAGCTGTTTCATCCCAGTTTGAGACTCTTCACCAGCACTCAGTGGTACCGATAATTCTGCTATTTCGGCTCGTAATCACACCTTCAACTTAAGCAATGGCTGACATCTATGGATAAGGTGTATTCCTTAGAATGTTATCAAAAGGTGTAATGCTGTCAGACCATAAAGCAGTATGTAACTGAATCCAGAGAAAACAACAAAATTATGAATTGACGGAAGTTAGAATTCATAGGCCATTGGTTTCCGTCCAATGGATGAATGGTCGACAGGTCCTCTTTAGAACATGAAGATCCTGTGTTTGATGCTTGGTGGGTTCCTGTCTGCATACTGCTAAAAGATGTCAAACTAGGATGAAATAGCTGTCCAGTGCTCCCTGACTTTCAAAGGTTATCTAACTGATGTCAGTCAGTGAATTTACTTGAGAAATAAGTATTAGCTTATAGAAGGCGAATTCATACAATGAAATTATTATAAAAAGTGATATTTTAAATCATTTTTAACGTCAGATATTATTCAGTTGATCAGATAAATGTTTCCTCACTTCCATGCGCACTAAAAAAAGAATCTAATTTGGATGATTGCTTCTCAGTTTCGTCTTCCTGAGTCAGTAAATTTATATTTTGATATTGGTGAAGAATGCATCGGTGGCACAGTGGTAGAATGCTCGCCAACCACACTTCATGTAGCCCGGCGTTTGACCCCTGGCCGACATACTCCTTTACCTCACTAAACCAGTAATAAGACCGGTAAAGAAGAAAGGTTGGGGGTGAGGCAACCCCATCCCATAAAAATAAACACCACTGCTACCGAAGCCCTATGTTCCACTGGGAACATAAAAGAATGAAAAAAACTGGTGTGGAACTGTCAATGAATACCCAATTAAAAAGGAATAATGATTTCTTGGAAAAAATAGAAATTTGATAAAATATCCGTTTATTTTAGTCTCACAAGACAATACCATTATATACAATGCTTGACGCTAGTGAACATGCATACACAATTCAGTATTTATTTGGGTTTAGAGATTACCAATATTTTGAACATCTCAAGTAATTTCTGTCGCATAACTGTTTAATTTATAAAATACGTAGTATTCACTGGATAAAAGCGTTTTATATAAATAGAGAATTATTAGCTTTGGAGACAACCTCTTCATTCTCTTGCTGTACTCTTGAATTCCACCCAGTTTGAAGTCACAATCTTGTTTAAATTTCCTTTATTTATTTCTATTATAACGTTTTAAGCCACCAGCTCACTTCTAGTCATTCATTAAAACTTCTAAGTGATGATTTCTTGACCATGTTAAATCTAAAGGTGAATTAAAACGATCTGTAACTGAACTCTTATTAAATCATCCAGCTGAGAGTACACAGCAATACTAAACATGCTTCCATCTCATGATTATTCAAGATTTTGTGATATAAATCATTATGTATTTTCATAGAATATTTAAACTGGTAACACTCTACAGAAAGTTATTTAAAAAAATTGATCTTTGATCCCTTCTAGTCACTCAATGTATTCGTGAATATAAAGTTCAGCATCTAAAGTTTAAAAAGAAAGAATAACAGTTAATCAGTCATTGATGTAATCTTTTAAAGAACAGACATTGATATACGTCTGAACTTTGTACAGATTTTTATTACCATTGGATTTTAAAATATCAGAATGTTGTTTGAATTGATACTACCGTAATAATTTATTAAATGAAACCTCCTTTTTAATACCTTTGCATTCCCAGTGGAACATAAGGCTTATAGTTTCAGCTTTGCAGTTTTAGTTGCACGGATGTTTATTTTTTTGAGGGTTGGGTTGTTAACCTCACTCTCAACCTTCCTTATTTTACCAGGCTTACTATCAGGTAGGCGAGGTTTAAGTATGCGCCGGCCGGGGATGGATTACCGGACAAGATGAGTAGTTGGCGAGTACTCTATCATTAAACCATCAACTATTATTTTTAAGTAAACATCTTTCTTGATGCTTTTCATTAATGGAGTGTATACACAGTCTTGACTAACAAACTGACTGGTCTCAACGTAGAACTTTGCACAGATGTGCAGCAGTTCGAGTTACCACACTCCCTTCTTGTAGCATACAAAGTCAGAGAAGAGAGTAGTGAGAGATTCAAAAGAGAGATAATAAACGGAAATATGAGGTAAAAAGAATAGTAGTACGGAAGAACAATAAAATCTTATTGGAGTGAACGCATCTGAGCCATTGAGAACGACTTTGAGCAATACCACCAACTGTCTCCAATACAGTCTTGAAGACACATTCAGTTCAATTATTGAATAACTTTACTACTAAATTTTAACCAGTAAACTTTGTGAGATAGCATTATGCATACAAGTTTGCTTCCAAATTGTATCTACTCCTAAAGTCAATTAGAATCCACTTATCAAGAATAAGTTAAGTAACATAAAGTTACAGTTAATTTATTTTGTTTGGTGTTAGATGAACTGACAGATAGGCAATCTAGGTCCATAACTTTTTATTTATTTATTTTTTTTTTGATTTACAGCTTGATTCCACACCGTATTTTCAGTACAAGTATGGAATTTTCAGCATGGATATCGGTTGCCCAAATTCAGGCATACCATAGATATCGGGTGTGCGCCGGCAGGGGATCGAACCCCGGACCATGTGCATGGTCGGCGAGAGTCCTAACCACTGTGCCACCGACGCATTTCATTTGATTTCGAAAATCACAAATACTACCCACAAGTAACTAAGATGTATCTTTTGAACAGCATAATCAAATATTTTAATATAATAATGATAATAGCTTTATTTTGAATAATATTTTAAAATACAGTAAAGGATTTTCGGCTTGATTTTATCTACTCCATATACAGAACCTTCAAGTAAGACAATAATATACAATATGTCATTCAATGAAATTTTGTTCTGTCTGCAACATGCTCCAGTCATCCATTTATTTGTTCCTTCATAATCAACCAAGCAGTAGGTTGAAAGTCATTCAAAAGTGAACGTCAGTACAGATTATTCTTCAAATACATAAACAGGTGATTAAAGCAAAGTACAGTTGAGCAGCAGCCTTGATTACGAATTGACATGAGTTAGAGAAACGTTGGAAAACCTGGGAATACTAGACTGCTGTCTCATCCTAGTTTGGGACACATTCAGTAGTACACGCCAACTGTAGTTTGAATCCAGGACCTTTGGGTTACAAGGCGAGCTCATGGACTGATCACCTACTAAGACAGAAACCAATAACCCATGAATCCTAACTTCTGTTAATTCATGATATATATGGCGCAACCGCCAACTAGTATCATCGGTGAGTAACTCTCCTTACCTGACTTGGACCCTGATGATCATGACTTCTAACTAATTAAATTCCTGCGAAGCAACACTTGAAAATTAATCTGATGGTCAGTAGTGACTGACTGTATTCAGGAAAAGATCTAGAGTCCTGGTTAAAAGTTATGCTCATCAGGGTCCAAGTCAAGTAATAAGAGGAGAGTTACTCACCGATGACACTGGTTGGCAGTTGCGCCATATAAATATCACAAACTGGCAGAAGGTGAAATTATTGGTTTATTGATTTCTGTCTTAGTGGGTGATCAGTCCATGAGCTCGCCTTGTAACCCGAAGGTCCTGGGTTCAAACCCCAGTGGAGATGTTCTGCCGGATGGGTCCCAAACTAGGACGAGACGGCTGTCTAGTACTGCATGGTTTCCCAATGGTTCTATAAATGATATCAGCTCGAAATTTGACCTTTAACCAGTCAAATCTTTGCAAACCAAAAGTTTAAGATATGACTGAGTGAATTGAACGTACTGTACTCTGTGAAAAATTAGAGGACCCAAAGACTTAACCAGACTGAATAATAAAAATAGTCATGATTATGTCGTACACTACTATTTATCCTTCGCAACACCTTTTCTTCAAACCACAATCTATGAGTTCGAAACCTATCACAGTTAATAATATTAATACTAATAAATTTCTATAGTCTCATATATAAAACCATAGTTAAGTGGGTTTATTTTTTCCAAAGACATTACCCCAATTATAAGAAAAGATGGTAATCATAATATAATCCACTTGAATGTATTATAAAACTGATCAGCAAAGAATATTCCGTTAGGCACAGTGTAATTCATGATGAAAAATTCGAAAAAACAACGCACAACTATATATTTATGGTTTTGTACACGAAGTCGACTAATTACATCATAATAGTTAAGCAAATCGCAAAAAGAGTCAGTTTAATCGAGGAGAAAAAGACACACA